CTGACTGTTCTCCCAAGTTGCCTCAGAGTAATGGTCCTTGGCCACCTTCCATTCTTGGATGAAGCGTTGGGCGTCATCACCGATGTAGGAGTTGAAGGAGTCTGACAATGAATCTAGCGTAGGGGCGGCAGCAGACTCAGCATTGGAGGGCTCACCAGCCCTAGAAGGAGGAGGAGGAAGCCTGTTGTTCAAGACAAACCTGCAGACATGTTAGAAGGTGATTTGTTGATAGGAGCAGGAGTTGTTTGGTCCTACCTCATGCATCGGAGCCGCTGGCTCACCGGCATCTCCCCCCCAGGAGATCTTCCGCTACACACTTGCTGCAGTTATCTTCGCCGGCCATGGGTGCTGGTTTAGATCTTGAGGGGAGGAAAAGAGGAAACTGCTATAGGGTCTATGAAGGTGGGAGGATGTAGGAGAATGAGAGCATTTGCAAATATAGATGTGTTTGAGGCTGAAGCCCTTGGCTGGTATTTATACCCACGAAGGCGAGATGGTAGATATCTTGGGACGTGTGAAAGTAACCCCAGTTAATGGAAGGGGAGCGTCACTTCGGTAATACTGAGGGGAACGTGGTGTTGATGACTTAGAGGGAATTCAAAGTGTTTTGTGATGAAAGCTGTTTTCAGATTTAGTTAAGTCAGAGTAAAGTCAGAAATCAGAAATCGGCTAATTCAAATTGGCTCTTCTAGCCGAACAAAAAATACAACTATTGTCAAGTTTATGTGCTATAGATACTGGAGTGTAAATTACAAGTTAAGAGCATCATGGATTGCTCGTAGTGCTTTTAGCCAAATAGCATCAACTTCTGCAATCTGTTGTTTATCTTCTTTGGCTGACCCGGGAATGCTCTCAAGACTGCTGTGAATAGCTTTGCCTTCTTTGACCTTGATCAGCATTTCTTGCTTCTTCTTTTTGATAGCATTGGGGATCTAAGTCAAGTTGGACTCATGATATTCGATGGTGGCGTTCACACTTTCTAGTTCCTTTTCAAGTTTAGCACGCCTAATTCTCAGCTGATTTAGTCCTGGTTCAATTTTGGAAGAAGAATTCTTCAGATTGTCGATCAGTTGTGCCAATTCTTTAGCTTCCTGCTTGTTAGGGTTCTTCTTAGCCATCAAATCTTCATGGTCCATCAGGTTTCTTTGAGCCTTTTTCACCTTGGGAGCTTGATCTTTAATGTTGGACAAAGGTGTCAAGGCTTCATCAAGATTTGGGGGTAGATCCTTCTTAATGATTAAGAAGATTCTTCTCATTGGATCTGCATCTTAGACCAAATTGGCTATGTTCCTCTCGAGCATTGGTAGCATGTCTTTTAGCCAATTTTTGGTCTCGTCTGATAAGATTTCTTGAGAAGAGATGGCTGATGAGCTAATCTCACTTTCATCTATGTATTCTTCAAAGTTGAAGGAGTAGCTCAGAGCTAGAGAATTAAGTGTCTACATGTGAACAAAAGGAGTTTTATTAGGAATGGTAGATAAGTTGACAATGAGATGAATGGTGAGGAGGACATGGTTCCTTTTCTAGAAGAAGCTTTGGCTGAGGAGAAGGAATAGCCGATGATGTGCCAACATCTTTTTCAACATTTGGTGGAATCAGCTCTGGTCTTTTGATGCTAGTGTCTGCAAGCATCAAGAAGCTTTTCGGTTTATATTTGTTATAGAAGGACGCAAATGAGCATATGAATTTCTTACCATCGACTGTTTGCTAAGTTGGAGAATCAACGGTTTGGGTATCAGTATCAACAGAGTCATCTTCAACTGTTGGATTGTTAGACCTTTGCTCTTGTGCAGATGTTTTCTCAGGTGGTATCTGATAAAGGAGGCTGATCAGAGAAGAGTAAGGATTACTTAAGATTAAAAGTCTTGAGGAGATACCTTGGTAGTATCAGGAGGTGAAGTAGAGAGGTTCTCATCTTCTGCTCTTTTGGGTGTGTCAGAAGCATCGGTTATTTTAGTTGTAATTGACTCCTTAGGAGGATTAGCCAATGGGAGGTTGGTAGGTGACGATTCAAATGCTTGGGACAACAATTCGGCACCCAAAGCAGATTAAGATGTAATAGTAAATGGCTGCAAGAAAGGAATTGAATTAGAAGTTGGGTATCATCTTAAGAGGGAAGATAAGTTAAGTTACCTGAGCAATTGATGATTTTGTTCCACGAAGTCTCTTCCCAGTGGTGGTTTTCTGAGTTACACCTTGGGTTGTCATGTATTTTGAAGACTGATATGTGAGTCTTGTTGGGGCAACTAGGGTTTTCATCAACTTTTCAAAGTAGGTGCAATTGATCCCATTTTTTAGGCTAGATATGGTGGATAATATTCTATGGGATGCCCTTTCTTGTCCACGCCTGGCGGATCAAATTTGGTATCTTGCAATAGAATTCGTTAGATGAATTGATAGGAGAATTTGTTGGATAATCCTTCAGAAAGGAAAAAGTAGTAAATTACCTCACTATCAGAAGCAAATTCCTCATCTAGGGCTAAACAGTTGGGATGAATTGGTGAGAGTGCCATTCTTGCCACCAGGAATCAAATAAATTTGAGGAGAAGGTAGCTCTTGTACATTCATGCAGGCAAAAAGAAGGAAGGTCTGATCCAAGTTGAAAAACTCTAGAAGCTTCCATCATCTCACTGATACCTTCTCTTGGCTTCAGAATGTTCTTAAACAATAGCAGAGGAGGTTGTTGACCAAGGCCAAATTGATGGGCCACAAAAGAAGGATTATAGAATTCATAACTTGGAAGGTTATCTAGGAGAAAAGAATCAATGGCGATTTTACCACGGCCATGGCGAAATTCGGCTGGCAGTGCACAGGGTTTGATAATACAACTAAAAATTATAACAGTTGTTTCATCTGAGCAACCTATTTTAAACCAAAATTTGATTGGCAGAACTAGTTTATTGTCTTCATCTTCATCATAAGACAACCAAGTCAAGATGTTTGCATCAAACCCTTTGAAAAAATTCTTGAAAAGGTGGCCTACATCAACAGCAATTGTTATGGCTGAAGCAGCTTCACCATAATTCATGCACTGTCGAGTTCTTCTTTCTTTTCCTTTATAATCTTTAGCAAAGTTGGAAGAAGGGAAGCTCAGATTTCTAAGATTAGGTCTTACAATCTTATGCATGTACAGATTCATATATAATTGTATTAACCACCAAGGGCCACTAATGGTATGCATTGGTTCATCTTTTAGTAATTGAACAGATACTTGGTGCATCAGGTGATAAGCAGACCCCAACAGATATTTTCCGAGGGGGGTTTCATTGCCAGCTACTAAACGCTCTACCATGTATTTATGATTATAAGTTAGCCCACAAGATGACCCACAGAAGATGAATATTTCCAGCCACATGTTTAGAAAAGCTATAGTCTCTCTTTCATCAACAATTGATCCATCTCCAATATGGTTTAGAATATAGCTTGCCCATCCTGTGCAATCTAATATTTTGGCTAATTTTTTGGACCCAACACTTAAGAAATTATAGGGTTGCATTGATCCTATTATTCTAAGGCCGGTCAACATGTAAATATCAGCCAAAGTGATGGTCATTGGACCATGACAAAAAACAAAAGCATTCAAAGTGTTGGACCAAAAGTAAGATGCAGAAATAAAAAATGAGTCATTCCACTCCATTCCAGACAGTGAGAGTGTTAGGCATTGATTCAAGTCATAAATTTCTCAATCTCTAGTCTTTTTCTCTGATACCCTACGAAACCAATCCCTCCACCCCTTAGGCATTTGGGTCAGTTTCTAAAGGAAGTCTTAGTGTTCCAAGAAGACAAATTTACTGTAGAATGTTTGAAGGGGATTTGGTTGGTTTCTTGGTTGATGAAATCAGATGGATCAGGGTCACCCATTAGGAACAACAGCTGATGGAATCAGAATTTCGTTCCTCATTTCCTAGAATCCAATTGGGATGAATTTAAGAAAAAAAGGAAAATATAGAATAGCGGCTAACACTTGAAAGGCAGAAGTTTGAAGACATACCTTGGGAAAGTGATCGCTAGTTGCCATTGTAGCCAAAATGGATCTGAATTTGACGAAGGCTACTTGAGCGGCAGCTTAGTAGAGCAGAGGATTTGTGAGGGTTAAGGCTTTTGGCAGTGGCGGCTTTGGCTGTTGAAGTTTGTTCGAGAAAGAAAGGAAAAGTAAGCAGGCCGAGCGAATTAGAGATGATACTGTTGGGGTATTATATAGAATTTGGCCCGAGAAGTCAGGAGCCATGCGTTTATTTTGGAATGAGTGGTTTCAACACAGGGAACATAATAGGAATTTTGGAATAAAATCATTTTGATCCCAAAATTGGGGGGCATATGTTTACACCAAAATTTGGGAAGAAGAATGCGGGAACTCGAACCTTCTAAGATTGTGTCATCAAGGAATCGATTGGATGAGAATCATTATCAGCTGATTTAGATGTAATGTTAGAATCGGCTATTTTATGGATGATGTCAGCAGACGGCATCAATGGGCTATACTTGAGTGGCACCAGGGAGATGTGTCAGACTCTATGAATAAGGAAAATTGGGATCCAAGTTATTATGAAGTTAGAAAGTTTTCTTTTATTCCAAGAATTGTAATGAGTCGTATTTGAGTAGGATTCATGTTTAGGTTATGGGAATAAATATTAGACCCTATTTATTGTAAAAAGGGATGAACACACAATCAATACAATCTTTCTGGCTTTTGCCATCGCATTAGGAGTAGGAGTACTCAGTGGCGGATCTGCCGGGGGGGCTGCTGGGGCTCAAGCCCCCCCTACCTTGGCCGCGCCATTGGAGCCCCCCTGAGCCCCTCCATAAAATTTTCAGCCATTAGCCACTAGGAAGGAGGGGCTGGAGAGGTTCCCGTCGCGGACGGAGGTTGAAGACGAGTTGGTCTGCTTCCTGGGCCGGAATGTGTGGCCCACTAACGAAGCCTGTACACGGCCCATCAAGAAACATACATTTTTTCTTCATTTCTCTTCTCATTCTGTCGGTCACGGGAGCAGAGGCACATGACTCGAGCTGACTGGGCCGGCGACTGGGCGACTGGGCGAGTGGCGGCGGCTCCAGCTAGGGTTGGCTGGCTCCTGCCCAACGGCCGACGGAGGCGCCGCAGCGCCGAGATCCCAGCGGGCGGAGGCAGCAGGCAGCAGCGGCTGTGCATCACAGGCGCAGGCCAGCAGCCAGCAGGGGCGCAGCGTGCAGGGCGCAGCGCGCAGCCAGCAGGGGCGCAGCGCGCAGGGCTGGCCAGCAGCCAGCAGCCAGCAGGGGCGCGGCGCGCGGCGGTGACTCTGTGTGCAATTGCCTGCTGGATTCTCTGAAATTTGGGGTTCCTGGCTTCCTGCAAAGGCTGCAATGAATTGAGCTTACCCTGTCAGGTGTCAGGTAGCCCTTTTGCTTTCGGTGATGCGTCATGCGTGCAATTTAATTTCGCTTTTTAGCATTCCTTTTTATTCTAGCTAGGACTGCTTTTATTCCTCCATTTTGCCTTCGCTGAAATTTGGGGCACTGGGCGGCAGCAGGCACTGGGCGGCAGCACCGCAGCACCAACAGGGCAGCAGCCAGCAGGTATACTCTTTTTCTTTAGATTTGCCTTTTGAACTTTGTAATCGTTCAAAATTTGATTAGGATTTAATAAATTGCAGATTATTCAAAATGTCCAAAAGAACATTGCACACATATTTTTCTGGTACAAGTAGTACATCAACTCTAGGCAGTAATAACAGCATAAATCAACCAATTCGGCGTAGAGTGGAGTTTAGTCAATCCGATGTAGTTGGTGATCCAGGAAATCGCATACCAATTGAAGAATATCCACCAGAAATTAGAGACCAAGTTAGAAGGGCATATGCTTTGAGATGTCCGACCCAACCTCATAATCTTACCTTTGCTCGTAAATGGCAAAATGGTCAATGGAGATCATTTCAGCAAACTTGGTTTGATGAGTTTGATTGGCTAGAGTATAGTGAGTCGAAGGATGCAGCTTATTGCTTATATTGTTATCTTTTCTTTGATCCGGGGAAGCCTGAAAAATTTGGTAGTTCTGTCTTTGCAAAGGATGGTTATACTAACCGAAAAAAAGCTAAGGACAATTTTAATCAGCACGGTACTTGCAAGACTCACAATAATGCTAGGCTAAAGTGTGATGACTTTATGAACCAAAGAACAAATGTGGCTAGAAGAATTGATGTAATTAGCAAGGAGGAAGAGAAAAGATATGAGATTCGCTTGAACTCTTCTTTAGATGTAGCAAGATTTCTCATAATGCAAGGTGATGCTTTTCGTGGACACGATGAGTCCTCTACTTCCAACAATAAGGGTACATATAGAGAGATGGTTGATTGGTACAAAGATAAAGTTGAGATTGTTAAGGATGCAACGATAAAGGTGCAAAAAATTGCACAATGATATCTCATCATATACAGAAGGACCTTATAAAAGCTTGTGCACAAGAAGTCATGTCAGTGATTATGGATGAGATTGGAGATAAAAAAAATTTCTGTATTGATTGATGAGTCCCGAGATGTATCAATAAAAGAACAGATGGCTATAATTTTGAGGTTAGTAAATGACAACTCTATTTTTTTACCTCGACTTTTACTTGTACACTTGTACTAACATGAAATAAAATATGGTTTGCAGGTTTGTGAATGATGAAGGGAAGGTGATGGAGAGGCTCCTTGGACTTCAGCATGTTGAGAGTTGTACAGCTGCTTCATTGAAAGAAGCTCTGGTCAAAATGCTTAACAGTCATAAGCTACCAATCTCTAGCCTTCGTGGGCAAGGTTATGATGGAGCTTCCAATATGAGAGGTGAATTTAATGGTGTGCAAAAATTGATTCGAGATGAAAATCCTTATGCATTCTATGTGCATTGTTTTGCCCATCAATTGCAATTAGTGGTTGTTATTGTTGCAACTTCTACTCCAGCCATTGCAGATTTCTTTAACTATGTTCCTCTAATAGTCAACACTGTCGGCGCATCATGTATGAGAAAGGATGCCTTGCTTGCAAAGCATCATGATGTGTTGTTAGAAAAGTTAGAGAGTGGGGAGATTATCACTGGAAAAGGTTTGAACCAGGAATGTAGCCTAGCAAGGCCTGGAGATACTAGATGGGGTTCACATCTTAAAACTTTACTTCGTATTTTGGTGATGTGGGAAGCTGTCATAGACATTCTTGAGATAGTAAAGAAAGACTCTGTTAAACCAGGAAATAATGGTGGAGCATTTGGTTTAATTGGTAAAATGGAGAGGTTTGATTTTGTGTTCATAATGCATTTAATGATAAAATTGTTGAGCATCACAGACAGTCTGTCACATGCTTTGCAAAGGAAGGATCAAAACATTGTTGAGGCAATGCAATTGATCATAGATGTCAAAGAGCAGTTGCAGGATATGAGGGACAATGGATGGGATCCCTTATTCAAAAGAGTGAAAACATTCTGTGATAAGAATGAGATTGAAGTGCCAGATATGGACAAGGAAATAAATGCTAGAGGGACATCTACACGTAGAAAGCAAAAAGTAACAAACATGCACTTCTACCATGTTGAGATTTTCCTTGCTGCCATAGATGCCATTTTGTCTGAGATGAATCATCGATTTGGTGAAGTTAGTTCAGAGTTATTAGTATGCATGGCTTGTCTTAACCCAAGGAACTCCTTCTCTAATTTTGATGTGGATAAGCTTGTGAGACTTGCTGAAATTTATGCTGTGGATTTTGACGTCGGTGACCTTCTTCTTTTGCCTGGTCAACTGCGAGGATTTGTCAGTCATGCTAGAAGAACTCAAGACTTTCTTGGATGTACAGAGCTTGGAAAGGTTGCTGAAATTATGGTCAAGACTAAAATGAACACATCTTATGGATTGGTGTATCGGCTCATTGAATTAACATTAACTCTTCCGGTGGCAACAGCTTCAGTTGAGAGGATATTTTCTGCTATGTCTATTGTAAAGACAGATTTGCGTAACAAAATGGGTGATGAATGGCTCAATGACTTAATGATATGTTACACTGAGAAGAAGATATTTAGAAGCATCAAGAATGACAAAATCATAAAACGATTTGAAGACATGAAAACCCGGCGTATGTTAGTGCCTCGGAACAATTTAGTGGTATGATATATGTTCTCTTCTACCTTCAAAACTTTGAAGTTAAATACTTGAAATTTGTGTCACTAATTTATTTTTTTCTTGTATTGATTGCTTCTAATGATTCATGAAGAATACAACAGCGTGAATGCGTCATCATCTATCGATCTTTTGTTGGTTAGTTCTAAAAATTATATCTTTTACTTCTTCTTATGCGTTTTATAATGCACTTTCGATTGTTTATCATAGTTATCATGTAAAAGGTTTAAAACTGCTATATCTTAGCTTTGTATGGAATATAATTGAGTGAAGTTGGTCTAGCTCTTTTTGGCCCAGCCCCTCCTAAATATTTTTTCTAGATCGGCCACTGGGAGTACTGTAGATCTCGGTGAGTTCTTCAGCAAATAGGGCTGCATCAATTGATCGACCTCCAGCTTGCTTGTGAGTACCGTCATGACTTGTATTGTGCTTGTAAAGCTGCATCAGCTGATTGATCTTTTATGAGCCATAATATAAGTTAGTTATCGATCTATATCATAGTTTGTAGGGCTGCATCAGCTAATTGATCTCTTATGAATCATAATATAAATCAAAGTTATTGATCTTGTGTTAAATAACTTGTTGTTTAACACAATATCACTAATTATCGAATCTGCTAAGATTAGTAAGATTTTCCTTGCTGTTTTTGGTTGATTCACCAGCTATCGATCTTGTTAGAATTAATGTTTTATTAATTATAACAAATCACCTGATTGAGATATAGATAGATCGGCATCATATCATCTTAATTGGTCATCCTTTGATCTGGTCACGCTTTAAATCTCATGATTGACGACTTAATTCCACTAGATCGGCTGTTTTATCTCTATTCCAATCAAACATAGTATGCATCCAAAGACATGTTTCAATCTTGAATAAACTCACTAGTTAATGAGATCTAATCTAATGACACTACCATAGCTACATCGATCTAGTCGAACCTCACTGGTAAGACTTTAGATCAGAAATTATCGATTAGTGGTTTTGTTCATGATCAAGATATGTACTCTATTTGTTTGCTATGCCTGCATCGACTGTTTTAGACGATTGCCTATGCTCTCACACATATAGCATGCTTTCGTGAATCTGTCAACATATAGATGGTTTCATAGATTCTTTGGCTTTAGTTTGTCATCATTATCATAACTGCATCGATCCAGTCGAACCTCACTATTGATGATAATAGATTGGATTCAGATTGTTTATGTATTCATTTATGGTAAACAGTTGATTGTTCACCTGTTATACTCTTTTCATCAAACTTATCGGCTCAACGTTTTATATCGATCATGTTCTATTTAGTCGATGATGCTTTCTTGTATCGCTTCTTATGGATGCACCGGATATCGACTATTTAGTCGATAGTCTCATTGAATCGGCTATTTAGCCGTACATTTGGAACTGTTTGGTGCAACACCAACATGTTCCCCCTTAAATTACTGATAAGACTTTCTCTCCTTGTCAATTGCAGATCAAATTGATTGGCACATCGTTGGGTTTTCCAGAATCAGCTGGTTCTATGTTGAAGCCAAGCAGATCTCTGGTCTTGTTCCACTCAGATCTTTCGGCTTGCTGTGTGTTGATCACAACGCCACATTTTTGTGTCAACACAATTAAAGAACAAGCTTTACTTAGTTGATTTCAATAAAAGCAAAGCTAAGCTTGAGACTTGTTTAGTGGTAAAATCTAGCATGGGTTGGCGTTGGGATGAGGAACTTGGCCAAACTTCTAAAAGATGAACACATTCTTGGACTAACAAATGTTCACTTTGAGAAAGATAGGATTTGTAGCGCTTGTCAAGCCAAAAAGCAAGTTGGAGCACCTCACCCACCAAAGAGTATCATGGCCACCAAGCAACCATTGGAGCTAATACATACGGATCTCTTTGGACCGGTTGCCTACCTAAGTATCGGGGGTAACAAATATGGTCTTGTTATTATTGATGACTATTCCTGTTTCACTTGGGTATTTTTCTTGCATGACAAGTGCCAAGTTCAAGAGAAGGTGAAGATATTTGTTAGAAGAGCTCAAAAGGAGTTCGGTCTTCCCATCAAGAAAGTGAGAAGCGATAATGGGACTAAATTCAAGAATACTCTAGTTGAGGAGTTTCTTGATGAAGAGGGCAGCAAGCATGAGTTTTCAACTCCATACACCCCTCAACAAAATGGTGTAGTAGAGAGGAAGAACCGTACAATCATTGACATGGCAAGGACAATGCTTGATGAGTACAAGACGCCGAATATCTTTTGGTGTGACACCGTCAACACTGCTTGCCATGCCATCAACCGCCTCTACCTACACAAGAAGTTGAAGAAAACTTCATATGAGCTTCTAATCGGTAACAAGCCTAAGGTATCTTACTTTAGTGTGTTTGGGTGCAAGTATTTCATACTTAACAAGAAACCCAAAATCTCTAAGTTTGCATCTAAAGTTGATGAAGGTTTTCTTCTTGGTTATGGATCAAATGAGCATGCCTACTGTAACACCCCAGAAGAAAAGACAACAAAAATCTTCTGGAGAATTACCACAGTTCAGCACAAAGAAAACAACCCAACATTAGAGTATGCGGAAGCAACAATAATCATAATGATCAACTATAAAATATCTTTACTGATCACTAAATTGTCATAACTCATCCAACCAAAAACCAGATCCAACATGAAGCATATAGTTTGAACCAACTAAACCATGGTTACATATTATTATTACAACACATGTGTCCCACAGATTATTTGACTCCAAGGTGACATGCACACTTGTTGCTACTCCCGTCCCAAGCATGCATCTTCCAAGCTCAAACACCTGAGGGGAAACAACGTGTGAGGTTTATGGAAAACCTTAGCAAGCAAACTGCCTTAACTGAGTTATTCAAATCATAGTTGATTAAATATCAAATTTAATACATGATAGTAGATACATCCATTGTTTCATAGAACTGTAATGTCAATATATTAAAAGTACAAATGTGAATGATGCAATGCAATGCAAATGCGAATGATGCCATGCAATGCATATGTGAATGATGCAGTGCAATGCATGACTTCACTTCTACCCACACGTCCCAACAAGAGGGAGTGAGGGCTACAACCATAAAGCTCATCAATGTGCGTTGCTGTACCGGTACTTACCGCACCAATTTGGCTACGGTTTCTTCAAATGCATATCAATGGGAAGAGTGCAAATGCAAATGTTGCATTGTGAGTAATTCATGTACTTCATAATTCAATAACAAAGCAAAAGATATAAATCCATATACTTCAAGGTAACTTCAAATTTAGATTAAATGTCTAGTGTGAGATACTAAAAATTAAGTGGAGGCAATTCAAACAACCAAGCTAAAGCATGTGAACCACATCGTCACGTTTACTTGCCTTCACCGAAGATCAAAAGTGAGAGCTAAGCACGATCCGAACGTGCACCACCTGCTCATAAGAACATCCCAGTACTAACACCATCGTACAATCGAAACAAATAACAAATTATACAATTAAAGCGCCCCAAACCCCCGTTTAAAACATCTACCATCTCGCTACCGATTGTGACAGCAGCACTGTCCCTTCTCTTTTTCATAGACAAACAACCATACATTAATAAATTACTAAAATCTACCAGATGATAGAAAACTCATTTATGTACAACTTTGGTATTATAATATTTGGCATTAGAGGTCTCCAAGATAGCATAAACATTGACTTAAGTTAACTGAACTTTTCTGTCTGTCAAAACAGGACAGAAAAGTTATAAAAATCATAACTGGAGACATACTCGTCCAAACAACGTGTTCTCTAACAATATGGAAAGATAAAGAAAAACTCTACAACTTTCATTTAGATACCAAGTTCAAATTGTTCCAGTAAAAAGGGCAAAAACGGATTAGATCTAAAACTGTCCAGAAACTCGTCACTGGAAAACAGCCTACTTCACATGATCATATCTCCAAGAATACGGAGGCAATGGGGGTGATCTTGGCATCAAAAGAAAGATAACGAAGTCCTCTACAACTTTGTCCATAGTGGAAAAAATTATTGAGGCCAATAAAATGACCTAAAACAGCGATGAACAGAAACTGCCTAATCTGATGGGGTTTCCGAACGTGGGCGAGATTAACTTCGGGAATTACTCCATCTAAACTCCACTTAAAAAAGATGATTTGATCCATGGAACTTGGTCCAAACAAGGGGATAAAGGTTTGATGTCTTACCAAGAGAAACTGCAGCAAGCACACCGACAAACCCTAGGCGATTCACTCCTTTCTTCTTCGCCTCCCGGTCGTCCTCGTCGCTGCGATAGGATCGTGGTTGGATTCCGGAGAAGAACGGCACGTCAACGGCGGCGCAAGCCCTAGGTCTCCTCTTACTCCCCTGCTCCCTTCGTTCCTTTTTTCCCCGTGCTAGAAGACAAAGGGCGGCGGCTGTTGGGCTGGCCAGGACGGTGGGGAAAAGGAAGGGGAAAGGACTACGATGCCGACCAGAGCATGAGTCGGACTCCAAGGTATGTAGCCGCGCGGTACTGTAGCTCCATAATCACTGTAGCATTTTTTTTTATTTTCCCTTAAATCTTCCAAAATTCAAAGAGTCATGATCCGAACTCTAATCCAAGCACATGAATAGTCAAATAAAAAGTATTTGACGAGCTCTACGCATTACTAATCTCTGTTCTTTCATGCGAGGAACGGATCAATAAGTCAAATTTTTGTCTCTCATTAAAAATCGATCAACCTCTGCTAGATAAGGAACTTGATCCAAATTAAAATTCACATTCATGACTTTTTTTTTTGTTTTACACCTACCGTGTCTTCAACAAAATGTCTGGGAGAGTTGAGATTGCGGTAGATGTGATATTTGATGAATCTAATGGCTCTCAAGTGGAGCAAGTTGATTCAAGTGTTGTAGGAAAGGAGGATCCACCATGTGAGGCAATCAAGCAATTGGATATTGGTGATATTAGACCACAAGAAGAAGAAGTCACTAAAGTAGAGGTTCCTAAAGTTG